TGGTATCCCTTTTTATAAGACGGTGCTGTCTTTTGACACATACTTGCTTGCATGGCAATATATGAAACCTAATATTTATCTAAGATTAGGTTCTGGTTAAATCCTCTTCTATGTCTTTAGTTGTTTGCAGCACTCACTGTGGCTTTTCTTTGGAGTAAAGGAAGAATTCAGTGTTATTTCTTTTGACAGATACTGGTAGCTTTGGGGATATATTCAGTCTTCATAATATTACTTTATTACAGTTCAATGAAAGTGAGCACAATCTTGACTTTAATTTCATTTTTATATTCTTCTGCTGGCCTCAGCAATGAAGGATATTGAGCTCTGGGAACTGCATGGTGATCGCTGATAAAGTAAAGAAGATATTACAATGAGGATTAAAGATTTTATTCAGTCTGGAGCTGAAGTATTTCTTAACTCTAAAATGGAGAAAAATCAGGGTTTTGGGAAAATTTATTACACAAGAGTGCAAGGCAACCAATTACAGCTCTCCACTCTCCCAAGAGAAAAAGAAACTGTGACTCTGTGAGGTTAAATAATTTACCCAAGTTCTCACAGTTAATAAGCATCTTAGCTGGAATTTGAACACAACTCTGTCTTACTTGGGACTCCATGCTCTGCTGCTTCTTTCCATGTACATATAAGGTTCAAAGTTCAAGAACAGCACCCCCCCACCCATGAACATTTTTCTATTTTAAAAGCTTTGAGCAGATAGTTGTGTTACCTCAACAAGCAAACCCTCAGGGCTAAGCATAAACCAAAACACTTAGTGTTGGATTCAAATCAAGCATCAAGTTGGTGCTTATTCAGTAGTAGGCACAGCCATTGTTTCACCAAGAAAATCAGTCAGAATATTTAGGAAATCAGGCAGAAATGGTAAATAATTCATTCATTATTTTTTCAAAGACAAGATTGAAAAGATGTTTCTTCTTGCTTTGCCAGCTTTTACATATATTGAATCAAAGTCAGTGTCTATGTTTTTTTTTTTAAAGATATATTTATTTATTTATACAAGCACTGGGTACAGTCAGAAGCGAGGGAGAGTGAGAGGCTTCACCAGAGCCAGAGCGGGGAGCAGAGCAGACAGAAGGACCGAAGTACACTGCTGAGGGGAGCAGGGGGCGGCAGGAGAGGTCTGCACGCCATGTGGGACCCTCCTCCGGTGGCCGGGGAGCACTCGGGGATCGAACCGGCGCTGTGGAGGCTGCGGGCAGCTTCGCAACCCAGCGCTCAACCGCTGCGCCACCGGGGAGGCCCTCTAGTGTTTTATTTGATTCATGTTAACTCTACTGTCCTACACTTTCTTGCACTCCTCCCTCCCCCAAATCAGCACTCTCATACCTTAGAGAACTTTGTGGAACCACTGACTTGACCCTCTGAGTGGTTGGCATCACCTCTAAACCACCACCCCCAGCTCCCTGCTGTGACCCCAGTGAGGCTTCCTCCATTCCCCTTAGTGGATCCCCCACCACAGCACATCAGGCTCCATCTTCTGCTCCTTCTGGTAAGGGGACTCATCTCTGCTTGGGAAACAGTATCCTGCAGAAGTTTAAGTCCACAAGGCTGCAGCTGAACTTACTGGAGGTGATAACATGGTTCTCATATCAAAAAAATGAGGAGAGGCACAAAGCTGAGGGTGTGGAGCAGGGGGGGATTACTGAGGTCCAGCCTGCTCCTCTCTCAGAGAATGAAATGAGATCTGGAGTAGAAGTGATAGGCCTAAGGAAACACAGCTAGACCAACAGAGGGTCTCGACCTCAAGTCTCCTCACCCCCACTTCCTCCACTGTTCCACAGGGTGTAAAAAGCCTCATCCTTAGCTATTGATAGATTTGGGAGTGCAATACTAAATCTACATACATAGATTTAGTTCTGAGTTTCCTGGAAGCCAAGTTGAAAATGGAGGCACTTTAAATTACTCAACTTTCATTACCCAATAAAATAAAGCATTTGAAGTTTACCCTTTAAACTATCCAAATACTCAACTTTATCCAAATGTTAAATTTCAATGAAATTATTAGTTGTATTACAATGGATATAAGTGGATATAATATAAAAGTGTCTTCAATAGTACTCAAAAATGATATGGGACAATTCATGATAGATAATGCTACATCTTGGTTTTGTCTGATTCAGCATTTCTTTGGGAACCCAACCTATTCAGGTTCAGTTATATACATTTTTTGTAATTTAATTTTATTTACAATAGAATTTAAAGTTTAAAGCAGCAGCTCTCAAATAATAATGTGCAAATAATTTAACAAAGAAGGGTTCTTTTAATGCAGCTTCACTGCTTTCTCTCACCCCTCAGCCCCAATTCTTTATGTCCAGAATAAAGTCTAAGAATCAGCGGTCACAAGCTCTGGCTCTGATGCAGGTGGCCAGTAGGTACATTTTAAGAAATACCAATCTAGAAAAACATGTTGTTCTCATGACTCTTAGCTTTAATCAGTCCCTTTGAATATACAGTTCCTCCACTTGGTTTTTAATAAGCAGCCAGTAGCCTGAGATTGATTTCTCAGGAGAGAAAGAGGAGGTACAAAGGCTCTGGGTTGTTGAGATGCCTGTGCTTTCTATACCAGGTGTGCAGGGAGTAAAAATGGGGTCTGCTTAATAAACTTAAGACCCTTGAGGAGTGGAGAGGGTCATGAAGAGTTAGGGAGAGATGGAATAGTCATAAAGGCCAATGTGGGAACCCCAAAGCTGACAGTTGCTGCCTTGCCATCTTCCAAGGTTCAGCCCGTTTGACTTCTGTCTTTGCCTACAGTTCATGGGAAAATCTTCCTGCAAGTCCTTTCTGAATCAGAGAGGTGGGAATAAAGTTGGGGGTTCACAGAGTTGTATTGATTCCCACAGATCTTCGGGTGGGCTTCAGGGGCCCCAAAGCCCCTGAGATTATACATGAATATGTTGTGTATACATGCATGTATTTTTGTAAAAAGAGGTTCTAATTACCACTTTCATCACATTCTCAAAGCAGCCATAAATGGTGTGAGAGTTGAGAGTCACTGGGAACTCCATCCACTGAGTGCATCGAGCTCCAGAGTCACACCAATGTGTTACCATCACATTGCAGCCTGATGTCAGTTAGCTGACAAGCTCGTTGGCGAAGCGAGGTCACTAAGGGTCCCTCCACATGAGCCATTCTCCCCACCCAGTCTGAGGATTATGGTGGCAAGGCTGTCAGGCTTAATTTTGACAAATTGTTTGGGCCAATTAGTCCCTTTTAATTGCTCATGGAAATAGTAATTTTAGGTGACAAGATTATTATATGCTACATGTTAATGGGTCCTTCAGGGTCCAGAAAACACCACCGAGATTGCTATGACCTGTTCTTTTCCGTCTTTGGCATTACCCTTGAAATCTCCAGAAAAGACATTTAGTCAAGTTAGCTCCTGCTCTGAGAAAAGTACAGAGCACCAGTTTCCTTTGATCCTTCTGCCAAGTGAAGGATTAGAGAAGGATTTTCAACTCTTCCTCGCTACAGCCAGCCCATATCAAACTTCACAGTCTTGCAGATCATTAACTTGAAAAGCTGGGGAAGTTTCTAGTCCATCCACTTGCTTGTTTACCTGTTCAGCCAAGTTGCTTTACATCTGAGTGCGTTTTGAATAAACAGGGTCCTAGGTGATGAAATATTTGACTCAGTTAAAGTTGAATATTTTCACTTCACTGAACAGTAAGGTCAGTTGGACCGTAGGTCACGGCAGGTCTGCCTAATGATTCACCACGTGCCAGCTCAGGACAGGGGTGGAACAGAAGGTGGAGAACTCCTCCTGGCAGTTTAGGAAGCTGGGCATTGAGTGGCCTTTTACTAGCTGTGTCACACTGGGCCATTTGTTTGACCTCCCAAAGCTCTCATTTCATTATCTGTCAAAAAGGGATAAAAATAATATCTAGTTCATGGTACAGCTGTAAGGATTAGGTGATACCATCAACACTAGCATATAGCAAGAGCTGAACCAGGAAAAAAAAAGATAGCTGCTATGATAATTACAGTACTTTTCTCCTCCCCAAATCGAGATCTTATAAAGAAGTCTGGAATAGTGAGAGATCAAAGAAATATTTCAGTCATGCTCAACTTTATCTCTATGCTCTAAAAGTTTAGTAATGGAGCCATATCTTATCCTATATACATCGGTCCTTCTTTAAATGATGCAGGTGAAGATGCAGCAAATTACACTTGTTCAGTTAAAAATCATTGATACCAATTTCAATGTGGATAATCACATTCCTTGAAATCCATGATTTCATGTGAAACCAACAATGAAGAATTTGTAGAGAACTTTAGTTACCTTGCTGGTTCTTCCTGATGGAACAAACTGGGCACTGTCTTCCTGGCATTTTTCAAAGATGAGGTTTGTTGTTTTTTATTTTTTCCCTTGAAAAAGACTTGTGTTCTTTACCCCTAGCTTCTTATCTAGTTTATGATTTTATTTCTATTCTGTAGAAATAAAAGGTTAAAATTTCACTCCTTTGTTGAAGCAGATTCTAAGATTTAAGCATTTTATATCGTATTTTTCACCTCAAGTTTCCTCAGCGTCAGCACTCACCTTACTGTGTTGCCTGAGGTCAGCTCTCCAGCTCTTACCTCTATTTACTTTACTTTTCAGCAAGGGCTGCGGGAAGTAAAGGCAAACATTGCACCAAGGAGTAAAATGTCATTTCAAGAATAATGGCTAGCGCTCCTCAAAAAGAGCTTTCTCTATGGACTGGAAATCGGTTAAAAGCTAGAGAGGGGTGTGTGTGTGTGTGTGTGTGTGTGTGTGTGTTGGCTGGTAAAAATGTCTCCAGAAGAACTTATTTATTTAGATGTAATGTTTAGTGGGATTCTACAGAAATATGAATTATGTAGAAAACTAAAGGGTTCTGGGGGTTGCCAGTACAATTCAGGGAAAACAGCACAAAATTCATGTGATAAGAAAGTTGAGGTCTTTGGCTAATATTTCTCTACAAAAGAAAAACCCATTTGTTCAGGAATCGTGTTACTTGCTCTTCTAGCTGCTGTGGTCTGTGTGACGCTTCTGGACAGACTTGAAGGCGACCAGATCAACCTGCCCCATGACATTCTGGTGGAGTACCAGCAACGGCCTCAGCTCCTAATCTCCAACTTCATCAAACGGCGGCTTAGACTTGGTGGCCACACATCATCATCACCGGGAAGCCAATCTGTCCCTGCAAGTCTGTAATTCAAGTTGTAATGCTGGGGTTATATATTACTTGTGGCATTTTTATATAGTTCTCATCCATATGCTCAGCGCACATTAGAGTGGTTTTATAAAACTCCGTTCTCCTTAAAAATGAATTTATTGCAGAAGAATTTAATACATTAAATGAAATTTAAATTTCATTTTAGAATAAGTTAACTAAGTCAGTCTAATAATTAAAATTGTAAAACTCCTGGATTGTGACATTTGGAGTTTCATGTGCAGCATTAATTAAGCTCACATCAGAATAGACCAGCCACTTGTAGATATGGCTAGCAGTCACTCTGTTTCTGAAACCAATCCAGAAATGCATGTTAGAACGTTGTCAGGCACTTCTAGGTGTTGGACGAGTGACAGAAATTGATCATTCTTATTCAAAATATTTATTGAAAAAAGTCTTAGTGTGATGTAGGTCTATATGAAAAAGTTACCCATCGGGAAATGTGACCATACTTCATTTTTTCCCCTGTAAATGATTTCAGTGCACCAGAAATATGATTAGAGGCTTATGTTTGCCTATATTTATGATTTTATTACAGACTATAACAATTCTAGCTCACATATTTATTTTTGAATGAAGACCTCTAATGCAAAGAATGATCCTCATTATTCTTCAGAAATTACAGATGTTGAAATCACCTTTAAGCAATGTTTTTCTTTTTAAGGAAATGCCTTTTGAGGAGGTTGTTTAATCTAATTTCAATATTAACATAACAGACTGAGGAATTAGTGACAATTGGATTTAGACATGAGTCCAAATTCTCAAGTCATCCTCCTGTGAGACTTTGAAGCATACAGGAAGCAACATCTGCCCACATCTCCATCCAGTCTGCCCCTCTGAGAGGTATCCGGTTATTTACAGGCTTCACCACACTCTCTGGTGTTCTTCTAAAGTTCTTCTAAAGCTGACACACAGAGCCTCCCTGGTGGCATGAGGGTTAAATCTCAGAGCTATTGCCCCTGCGGCCAAGCCCACATAGCGCAGCAGACCTCTCCTGTCTCACCCGCTGCTCCCCTCAGCATGTATTTCAGTAGATCCACCTGTTCTGCTTCCCACTCTGTCTCTGGTGAATCCTCTCACCTCACCTCTCCCTTGCACCTCTGGCCTACACCCCAGTTCTTCTATACATAAATAATACATAAATAAATATTTAAAATAAATAATGCTGACACACATAGGAGTTTCCAGGTTAGTTGGAAGATGGTTTATAGTCGTGTAAAGTATGGCATGCTGTGTACGTATATTTATGTGACTGTGGCTCAATTAAAGTTTAACTCCATCTATGATAGAAATTATTTGCATCTTTTTAATCAATGACAATAAATAATTCCTTGAAAGATACCATCTTTTTGGAAACTTATTGGCAATAGATATGCTTGGACTGCAATTTTTAAGACACCCAATAATCACCAAATGAAAAGACCAGAGCAAAAAGTAAGGTAGAAGAATATTGCAGTCATTAATGGGGTTTTTACTTGGTTTCATATTTTTTTAGTCCAAGTGGAAACTACCAAATAATCTGTCCATTGGTTGACAGATAAAGAAAACATAACAATATACATGTATGTACACAAAAGAATATTATTCAGCCATAAAAAGATGGAAATCATGCCATTTTTCACAAAATGGATAATACTAGAGAACATTATGCTAAATAGAATAAGCCAGACAAAGACAAATTCTGCATTGTATCATTTATATGCAGAATCTAAATTAAAAAAGGCAAACTCATAACAGCAGAGTAGAATGTTGGTTGCCAGGGGCTGTATGGTGGGGGAATGGAGAGATTTTGGTCAAATTCATCAAAGGATGCAATTTTTTAGTCTATATGAATAAGTTCTGAGGATCAAATGTACAGCATGGTGACTATAATTAGTAGTGCTGAATTATATCCTTGAAATTTGCTGAGAGTAAATTTGAAACATTTCTCATCAAAAGAGAAAAAAAATATCATTTATGTCCCCAGCAACTTGCACAGTGCCTCGCATATAGTAAAAGAGAGTTACGTATATTATATATTTCTATATATTGTTATAAACTTAATGTTTGCGTCTCCTCCTCCTACCCCCCCATCCCACTCCCATTCCTATGTTGAAGCACTAAACCACAATGTGGCTGTATTTGGAGATGAGACTTAGAAGCAAATAGATAAGTTTAAATGGAATTATAAGGATGGGGTCCTGATCCAATAGGATTAGTGTTCCTATTAGAAATGGTACCAGGACACTTACTCTTTCTCTGTGGACACACCCCAAGAAAAAGTCATGAGGACATAGTGAAAAGGTGGCCATTTGCAGACCAATAAGAGAGTTCTCACCAGATACAGGAGGGATTAGAACCTTGATCCAGGACTTCTAGTCTCCAGAACTATGAGAAAATAGATTTTGGTTGTTGTGCCACCTAATCTATTTAGTCATGGCAGCCTGAGCTGACTATGATTATATTATATATATATATACATAAATATATGTGTATAAATATGTGTATCTACACATACATTTTTATTAACTATTTTGGGCACTGGGACATACATACACAATACACACATGTATATATAGTATCAAATTACATACATGCAAAAAAATCACACAAAATAAACAAATGCATTGCTGACTTCCTTTCACGTTAATTTTATCCAAATTTTATCACTTGCTCAATCTTTCAGAGCAACACAAGCAACTTAATTCAAATTTGCTATGTGAGCTCATTAATAATCATGACCAGCTCTTATATTTCATGTTTCATTCCCAAATACCAACACACTACACAGCTGAAATGTTAACAATTGCTTAGGAAAATGCAATCTTCAGTACAAAATACACTAACTCCTCCCAGCTTATTTTTTATACAGTTAAAAATGTTATTAAGTGTTTTGTACCCTGTAGGTGTTTAATAAGGACTATAAACTATTGCCTAAGGGATTTTAACAAAGTCAGTTTGAATTTTATTTTCTTCTATTGAAAACATAGCCCTTAACATTGGGGACTTGCTGTGGAGTCCACTGGCAAAATCTGTGGATCCCACTCTGCAGGAAAAAGCACATTCATATGTATACCCCCAAATTTGCATATAATTTCATGGGTTCACACACATTCCACAGATTAGGTGATGGTAGGATTCCCACCTCTACCCAAGACCAAACTTCTTATCAGTGCCACTGCCATATTGTTGCCTCTGTGGTTTCTGGTGACTGCTCCCCCTGAGCCCACATGGATCAGGGCTGCTAACAGCTGCTCCCAGCTGCACTATCCTTTGTGGCTCCCTAAATCCTACCTACTCCTTTGTAAACAGTCTCTTCAGTAAGTTCTCTCAGTTACCACTTTAATTGTGCCATCTGGTTCCTGCTGAGACCCAATAATACAGCCTCAGAAACACATCTGGGAACCCAAAACCATTTGTGAGAAACACTGACTGACTTAAGAAACTCAAGTTATTCTAGATGCATATCTTTCCATTGTAATTTTTATTTGCAAAACCAGAAGTTAATATTTTTTTTTATTTTTAACTGGTAGAATGCTTTTTAAAAGATAATATTCTATATAAGAATGAATTCTTATATTTAAAATTTCTCATGGAACTTTCCAGGGCTTGCTGCTTGAGAAACACAGTATTTGACTTGTTTGGAATTAAAACCCTGAACAAAAGACAGATAAATGGCCTCTGCTTCTTGCCTCCAAGCTACATCATACTGTCAAGGAAGGAAATTAAAACTGTTTGACACACATTGAGTTTCATAAAGCTACCCTTTCCTCCACAGAGCCCATGTGCATCTAGATGTCTGTATCACAAGCAGATTTTTTCAGGATTTGTTCTATAATCTTCATATCAGGATTAGAACTAAATAACTAATCTTTAATAATTATAATTTCTGTCCCTTCTAAAAAAATTAATGAGCTAAAAATGTTTCTTTCCTTAGTCCTTTAGGACTTCTAAACACCCTAAAATAATACCAAGTCATCTGTATTGCAATGTCTCCTAAAATGAGTACCTGACATAATTTGCAGGCTACTTAATTATTCCCTCATAAATGTTTTTTCCCATTTCTGGGTTGTTTTTCTAATCCTCCCAAATAGGCATTACTCCATTCAGAATTAATTTAACATCTATTTTTCTAGAAACTGAGCATAGCATTTTCATTTGAGAAAAGTCTATCAGTAAACTACTTTTCCCTCCTGAGATCTTAAAAAATTATTTTTATAAGTTTAAAATAGTTTTAAAAAATCATCAGACACTCTAGAAGCCAATATCATACTTTGTAGAGAATTAGTCAAGAACTATCCTACAAAAAGGTAGTACTTTAGAGTTACAGAAATCATCTGTGTAATCTGATTTTGCCCCATCCCGTTAGAACAGGATGAACAGATTTTTAAAAATCTCAGTTTTTCTTTTCATTTTCATATCACTGTATTTTCTCATCTTACTTTGAGTTTCTTTGCATATATATTTCCTCCAAACATTGAAACTAACAAAAAACATTGATGAAGCAAACAAAATGTCATCCATGTTTCACCAACTTTGTGTAAATAATGTAGCAGTGGACAAAGGTCCACCACCCAGGTCTGTTTCCTAGACTTTATCATCCTGCCTTCTTCCTTCCATTGGGATGCCAGAGGTTTCCACTGTTATAGGGCAATTTCATGAGTGATTTAATGTTGCAATGCCAATAACCCACTCTAAGTAAACAAACGAATGCTAGAATGAATATATTTACATATTTATATTTATAAAGAACCTAATTGGTGAGTGAGCAAGACCAGTCACTTTCTTGAAATAATTAACAGCCTACTAAATTTGAGTCACTATGAAAAATAGCTATAAACCCAAGTGCAACCTGACAGATTCCAAAAAAGAGGTAGACATAAAAATATCTTCAGCAATCAACAGAGGTTATAATCATATGGAGATAGAAGGACTTGAATGGGTTCTTGGACAAGGTGGATATTTGAGGTGAATTTTATATAAGGGTCTTAATTTTGAAAGAGACCTGCAGAGGGTGTGACCATCAAAGGAAAAAGCACGATAGTAAGACAAAGGAGACAAATATAGGACATATGACTAGAATAGTGGAGAATCCTTTTGGCTGGACCTAGAAAGGTAATTTTGGGCTCTATTATGTGGGTCCCTAAAAGATCAGAGAGAATTGGACCTCATTTCTAGGCAAGTGAAGTGGCTTTGTGCATAGAGCAAGACTGTTTAGAAGTCTGTTGGTGGCCAATGGGAGGAGGAAGGTAATAAGATAAAGAAAAGTAACAAGAAACTGTCTGAGTGTGGATGACCAAGACTTGATTGGCTACCTTTCACAATATCCCAAGGTTGGGGAGGTAGCAAAGATGTATTAAAGATTAGCTGAGGCCATTGAAGACATTATTTTCTTATTAGACTAGTCAGCTTCCTTACCAGTGAAGGTCAGTGCCTTCAAATTTTCACCTAATAAGTTAAGCAGCTTATATATTTCAGAATAAAAATTCCCCTTCTATGTGATGGTGATGTGTTTTCAAAGTCTTTCTTTTGTTAAAAGGCTAAGGAAAGTTCAAACATGACAGAGTCAGAGCAGTAGTTGTGGGAGAGGATGGCATTTAAAGGGCTGATGAGTGAGAGATGTCAGCGATGATCTCAGTATCTATGCAGATGAAACGCTTTAGGGCTTTTTAGCTAAAAAAAAAATTAGCTTTCCCGAAAAGGACATAAGTATAAAATTCAGTACCATTAAAAAGTAAAGTTTCAATGAAATTCTGATATATACTACAACATGGATGGACTTTGAGAACATTATATTAAGGTAAATAAGTGAGTCACAAAAGGACAAGGAGTATATAATTCCACTTATACAAGGTAACTAGAATAGTCACATTCATAGAGGAGGAAAGTAGGATAGTGTTTACTGGCGGTCTAGAGATAGAAGGGGGGAGTTACATAGCGGGCATAGAATTTCAATTTGGGATATACTGTAGATTAAATTGGTAGATGTTATGGTATGTGAATTTTACTACAATGAAAAAGTAAAGCCTCAAAGAGATCTGTGTTGTGGTTTCTATAGTACCAAATTCTAATTTACTAATAATCTGTAGAGAGAAAGTTCACACGATGTGGTGTGATTGATCCTGCCTGCTGACTGGCATTTCTACATGGGCTTCTCTACTCTACACAAGGAGTCAAATGGTTCGAAGGAAGGAGCCTAACTTCCTAAGAAATTTCTTGATGAGAAATCAGAACAAAGGAATTGATTGGGTGTGGTGATGGTTACCAACGGAGAGAATGTTTAGCTTAATGTTCTCATCTTCAATGTAACAGTAGATCTGCCAAGGAGGCCTAAACTTTGCATCAGCAAA